CTCACTATTAGTAAATACTTGATTCTGCGAGATCAGTCTACATGTAGCAGGTTTCCCCAGTATTTTCATTTCCAAGACTCAAGAGGGTGATCAGCTTTTGAGAAAGATGCAACCACAGTTCATGGGCACCAGGCGAAGAAAAGATCTTAGCTGAAAATTCTTTAAAGGATTCAAACCCAAATCAATATAATAATTGTAAAGAAAAATAAACCACATTTATTTATGATTTAAGAGGAAGGTTTAGCTGGTTTTCATGCAGGTCCTCTATCCTGGTTGAATTGGAATTTGGAGTGTTGGTTTTTGTGGAGCGAGGAAAACCAGAGAACCCAGAGGAAAAGCCTTAAAATAAGGCAAGAACCAACAACAAACTTAACCCACATGTGGTACTGGGCCAGAATCAAACTCAGGCCACATTGGTGGGAGGTGGGCTGTCTCACCACTGTGCCATGTATCCCTGCTCTCCAAATCCAATCCCATCAGAGAGTCAAAGATTTCATCCTTGTCCTACATGTACATGGATGCTTGTGAGATGAAGAACATCATTCTGTAATGACTTGTGTCAGATTTGAATAGCGATTGTAAAATCCACTGTATTTCTTTATTGATCAGCTCTGCTTGAATCCTTGTTGGAATTAATGCATCTGGGGAGAAGGGATGGTGCAGTGGTGAGAGTGCTCGCTTCTCACCAATGTGGCCCAGGTTTGATTCTGGCCCGTTGACATATGTGGGTTGAATTTGCTGTTGGTTCTCGCCTTGCTCCAAGGGTTTTCCTGGGGTAGCCAGTTTTGCTCCCTCCACAAATCCAACATCTCCAAATTCCAATTTGACTAGAATAGGGGACCCACATAAAAACCAGCTAAGGCTGATGTTGCTTCCTCTCCAAATATTGTAAAGGGTATGGTAAAAACCAGCGTCAAATGCTCCAAGCATGCATATATGATAAGTTTTATAATATTTTGTCTTTTTTATCATAGGGGTGTGGTTGGTCATTCACAAGTGCTTACAAACTGAAGAGACACATGCGGAAACACACTGGTGAAAGGCCGTTTGTGTGCAATTATGAAGGCTGCTGTAAATCCTTCACCAGGTCAAGTCATCTAAAGACTCACAAGCTTGTTCACACAGGAGAAAAACCTTATGTTTGTCCAGTTGAGGGTAGGAAATTTTTCACATTTACAGTCTAAATTACAGGGATTTACTAATTTACTAACAGCATTGTACAGACCAGACCACCCAAAAATTTAAAAGTCCAAAGTGGTTAAGTCAGAAGTCTTGATATGTACTTCTCTAGTCAGCTACCTCATCCAAAAATCATTTTCTCAACACGTTTAGCTGACCAGAGATGTAGTACATGTATTTCTGGGGCAGATCTAGGTGGGTTCAGGAGGTTCGGTCAAACTCCTAAACTGTGAAAAAAATTGGGACATAACACTCAACTTGGCCCCAGAATGTCAGGAATCAGATTTCCCAGGACCTCAATCTTCAAAATTTTCTGGCAGAAAAATGTCCCCAGACCCCCTACAGGGGACGGCCTTTGGCGGTTCGTATGTTGAACCCCTTCTCTAAAATACTGTGTCTACACCAGTATTATGAGTCTCCTTGATTTCTATTGTTTTTTGTGGGAGACCTGTAATTTTATTTAGTCTGAATGAGTATATGTGTTTTATTTGAAGGGTGCAACAAGGCTTTTACAGCTGGAAGTAGTCTCAATGTTCACATGTGTAAACACACTGGTCAAAAGCCATTCAAATGTGACGTAGATGGCTGCAATAAAACATACACAACTGCTGCAAACTTGAGAGCTCACCAAAAGCGACATGGAAACAAGGCATTAACAGGTATGGAACATGTAATTGTGTCATTGACTTGTAGAAGCCCCAATGTCTTGTGCATTCTCGTTCCCAGAACATTTCAGTAAAGGTCCTTTTAAGCAGGTGGGGCGTGGCATGAGCTAGAGGTGGCTCTTACGATAATGCACTTGATTTGATTGGTTAGAACGTTGGGCACTAATTCAATGCTGATTTCCATCCCGAAAACATCCACAGCTTGATTTCTGACTAAAACTGTTCTGAAGTAGCACTTACAGACCTTAAGAGATTTTGACAAAGGGAATTTGAAACTGAAGAAAAACATGTATTCTGGTCTGAAGAGTTCCTGGCTCTCAGAAGTACATTCGTTTTAGCTGTTTACCTCCAATTTTCAAAAGGATTCTCCCAGTCCCTTTGAAGGCACTATGTAAGGAAATAATATAACACTTGTAAAGAGTTAGAATATTGCCTTTTTGGCTCAATGGTTGGGGAAGCCTCAGTGCGCTGCAAAGAAAGGTAACAAACAACATAAAAAGCAAGAATGACATGATGCTGTGATGTGAATGCTTTGGGGGTTTAATGGTGTCGTCTTCTCGCGTTTCTAGATCATGTTGATTTGCTGGTCAAATAACCTGATTACAATACAAATAGAGATTCAGTCATCTAAAAACATTTACATTTGCTACGGTCTTCTTTATTTTATATTCAAAAGAGGAGAACAAAACTAATCTCTACTGTAAGAGTATTTGTCAGAATTATAGACGCGAGTGTCAGTTTACTGAAAAACTACGAAACTACATCCGGGACCCGAGGGGCGTATTTTCCATATCCTCACTAGAGAAGATACTGATGACGTCATTGCCCGCATTTTCACGGTTGTTTGTGTAAACAACCAGTTTTCTATATCATAAAAAGAAAATTACCTGGTGGTTTGGGATTGCTCGTTAAATAATGTTTTCACTCGAAAATAAAATGCATATCTTCGCGCCGCCATGTAATATCCTCAAAAGAGCATTTTCACATGACGTCACGGCAGCCATATTGCTGTGCCAAAACAATGATACAGCGGCCATGTTGTTGTACCAAACCAGTCCTGTGGGAGTTGAACTCTTTTCTTATGTAAACAGTTTCTTTTGTTCCAATAAATTTGCATGGCTACAGGACGCTCTATAAATGTAACATAACAAAAACGTTCCTTTGTGTGTACTATCAAGGGCATTCCTTACAATACAAGAATCTGAGGTAGAATTGCAAGTACTAAACAATGAGTACAATTAAAACTTTAAAAACTTTAAATTTAAAATATCGCAGGGTTTTGCAGCTGTTTCTTTGAAGATGTTCTACTCTTTTCTAATGCCAGTAAACAATGGATAATACATGTGATAGCAACTGAGTTTTGTGTAAGGTTGTTGTTATATTTCGAGGGAATGTTTCACTTTTATTTTATTATAACAAAAAACAATCAAAGTAGTCAAGCAAGTCCAGTCTGGAACAGCATACCTGGAGGCGTTTTTCTGGACCCGTTCAGGGATATCAATGTTATTTCTAACATACACTCTTTTTTATAAGAATATTGCTTTTTCCGACTGAGGCTGAATATTTTTTTTTTTCTGCCGGTTTTAGGCTGAAAACATTCTTTGTGAATATTCTTAGGTAATAGCGTTTGACGTTTCTGTTTTCGAATGTATTTGGTGTCTGGATGGTGTTAAAGTAAATCTGGAGCCGGCCTGCAGCCATTAAAACACACGTAACCTCTCGCAGACATGTTATTAGTATCGACCACACGGCTAGTGCTATTTTTGTTGCTATTTACCTAGTTTTGCCGTTTAGAGAAAGGAAAAATTTTGTACGGTTTAGTTAAAACATATAATTGTTTTGCACTTGTGACTTTTCAACACACAGGATTATATTCTTTTCAAAATCTCAGCCTCGATATTCTTAGAAAACATATTGTAATACAAACAAAGAAAGAGAAGTAAAAGAGTTACAAAGATTTCTCATCAAACAGACAACAATAACTGCTGCGACACCAGTGAATTACTTTTAACTCAGCTGTAATAAGTGTACGTACCTACATGTATTAGCTATGTATTCCTTCATAAGTATCTTAAGAATTGCGAACCCGGTGCTAAGCGCACTCAAACCTGCACCAGCACTTAAACAATGTTCCTTGAACCACTCCCATGTCGTCTTCCAAAACGACTCTTGTTGCTCTTCGTCTAAGTCAATCTCGGATATATCACGGAGTCATCAGCGTCCGGAGATGTATGAGCCACTTCGGATCCATCACAGATAGCAGCCACCTTTCCACTCCCAGGAAATGTTACTCGGGCCTTGTTCGCTCGATACAAGTTGAAAGCTGCGGAACTTTTTGCAGCGCTGTAGCAGGCGATCCAAAAGTCGGATAGCCACTCTCCACCATTGGGTAGGACAGAGACCTTTCAATAATATCCAGTTGGTACTAATGGCAGGGATTGCACCAGCTTAGGGTCGAGTTTGAGCGTGTCGTTGAGGAATGAATGTATCGCCTCTCGCCAATTTGCAAGCTCCTGCATAAAGTAGGCTTTTCTGTCGCCCCCATCTTGATCTTCGACTTTATTAGCAAAGGTTAGAGCCATCACAGCGTTCTTCCAAAGATCCTTTCCAAACTGTTTTGCCAATATTTTGAATGTCTCCTTGTCGCGATTTAATCGCGTGTCGTCCATGTTGACACAGAAAATCACAAGGTCGAGCTCCTCTGTTACTTTGCGTTATATTTCCGACAGGTACTCTTCGTCTTTACCTGTATCATCTTATAGCCCCGGAGAATCCCAGACGCGAATGTCCACACGTTCAATGGCTACACTGTATGAAGTAACTTCGTATGTGCAGGGGCTTTTTTTGCCCCCTTCCTCAGCTACTTGTTTGCCAACAAGAGAATTCACAAGACTTGATTTACCGACGCCAGATTTGCCCGTGATGAGAAGAGAAAACTTCGTTTGTTTTTTTCTGATAACAGAATTCGTATCGAAACGGAAATTTGTTCTTTAGAAGTGGAAACATCAAAGCAAATGAGCATAAGCTCCTTGGCATGCCAGTGCAACATTGACATCTGGTGTACGCACAGATATTCGTAACGAAAGAATAACACAACGTAAAGATTAAACCGGCTAGAAACATTGGAATTCGCCTTTTTCTTCTTGAATGTACATGTATACGAAGTAAATAAACAGAAAAAGAGAGCAAAATTACTCTCAATCAAAGTATGTAGCATAACAGGAAAGTTCCTTATAAACTTTAAAACAGTCATGGTAGGAAATGTTGACGTGTTGTTCTACCAAGGACATTACTTACAACACAATAATTAGCAGTACTAATTAAAAGTAGAATCATTGTAACAAACTTTAGCTTAGCAATTCTCTGTCCTGTACATTTTATATTTACGTCTAAAAATATCGTATGGTCACGCAGCTGTTTCTCTTCGGGATATTCTACTCCTTTCTAATGCCAGTAGACGATGGATAATACATGTTAGAGCAACTGAGTTTTGTTCTTGGTTGTCTTTATAGTTTGAGGGAATGTTTCTCTTTTAGTTTAGTCTAACCAAAAACAATCAAAGTAGTCAAGCGAGTCGAGTCTGGAACGGCATGCCTGGAGGCCTTTTTCTAGACTCGTTATATAGTATCACTAGGGAGTACAAAGAAGGGAATGTTTCTTTTAGTTTATAATATCAATCACGCTGGAACTGTTTGCCTGGAAGCTTTTTCCTAGACTCGTTCAAGGGTAGTAATAGGGAGATAATCAAAAATATGTATCTTAAAATATACAATACTAACTGCTGCGATACAAGTGAATTACTTTTAACTTAGCCGTTAAAAATTGTGTTGATCACGTCGCGAATCGTCCTGTAAACTTGCGAAACAAAAGCACGAATCTTCCAGTAAACTTGCGAAAAAAAAGCACAAAAATACTCCTTAAACGTCCCCCATGTCTTCTTCCAAAACGAATCTGGTTGCTCTTCGTCCTTTTTGAGTCGGGTCAATCTGAAAGGAGCGGAATTCCCTGCAACATTGCTGCACGCTTTCCAGAAGTCTGATAACCAGTTTATACGATTGGGTAGGACGGAGACTGGTCGGTAATATCCAGTTGGTACTAATGGCAAGGATTGCACCAGCTCAGGGTCGAGTTTGAGCGTGTTGCTGAGGAATGTATGTATCGCCTCTCGCCAGTTTGCTAGGTCGTGTTCAAAGTAGTCCTCTCTGTTGCCCCCAGCTGGATCTTCGACTTTATTGGCAAAAGTTAGAGCTATCACAGCGTTCTTCCACAGTTTCTTTCCAAACGTTTCTGTCAATATTTTGAATGTGTCCTTGTCGTCGCGATGAAAGCGCTTGTCGTCCATTTTGAGACAGAGGATCACCACATCGAGCTCTTCTGTTATTTCGCTTTCTATTTTCGCCAGGTACTCTTTTTCTTTACCTGCGCCACCTTCGTCATCATCATTGTCATCTATTAGCCCCGGAGAATCCCACACGTCAACTTTCACACCTTCTAAGTGTTCCACATCGTAGGGAATAACTTTGTCAGCTGTCTGAAACCTTTGTCCAGCCACTTGTTTGCCAACGAGAGCATTCACAAGACTTGATTTACCGACGCCAGTTTTACCTGTGATGAGAAGAGAAAACTTCGTTTTGTTGTTCTGACGACACCATTCGAAGAAGTGATGTTTAGCTTCAAATGTAGCATCGGAAGGTTTCCTGAGAGCCATGTTGCTTTCATTTTCGAGTCTTGCCGAGTAAACAACGTCGATCGCTCACTCGAACGCCTATATGTAATTTAATATACCTGAATAGGCTACTTTCCTTTTCATAAATTCCACCTTTTGAGCGAGGCGTAGAGGGCACAGGCACGTAGAGGGCACGTTGCTGAGACAACGGAATCACGATCACAAAAAAGCATCTTTGTTATTTTGCCCAGTTTAACTTCCTTTATTCATTTCTCAGAAATGATACAAATTGTGGATTATATGTTATTTACTGATACAGCTAACTGAATTCCGAGAACCTTTGTCGTGAGGGTAATCATCATCAAGTGTCGGTCACCTGAGTGCCATCAAGTTGAATTCTCTCGTCTCCACTGTCAATAGCATCAGCAACGAGTCAAATTTAACAAGAGCAGTTGACATCACACCTCGAAATTTTCTTCCGGTCTTGTTATTCAGCTTTCACTATAAATGTCTACACAGTACAGATCAAAAATAATTAAATTGGAATATGTACATTTAGCAGTTGAATGAGCAAAGCACACGATTTTTGTATTCAACAGTGAACAGTTTGTCCTACTGCCTGTACAGTGGCTTTAAAGTGTCACAGCAGGGACAAAGGCTGGTGGCCAAATTAACGTTACGTAGAAGTACAGTACGAGTATTCATTTTCTTGAACCTACAAGTTTGTACATGCAATCAAGGCCTGAAAAGGGACTGGTGCATTTTGTAACAAGAGTACCTGCTGCCCATATTCGCCGTTTAATGAAGCTACAAGAACACTTGGATTTGATAATGAAAGATTGCAGATTCCTACTCTTACCTCCGTGGGAGAAGCAGTGACATAGACATAGTACTAATAATGAGCGCGTGGGATCCTGAAGCTCAATCGCTGGCTGGAGTCATTGTGTTCATGGGCAATATACTTGATTTTCGCTTTGTATCTCTTCACTCAGGTGTATAAACGGATAACAAACTTAAAAAAATGGACTAGCATCCCAGGGTGGAATACCCATAGTCGCTCCGTGTACAGAAGCTGGGTTTAAATTTGGCAGCTGTAGATCACCGGGCTCGTAAACTTCAAATATAGCATTTGTACATCTTTAGCACTAAACAGTCAGCATAGAGATTCAACCAGCTAGAAACATATGTATTTGCTTTGTTTTTCTTTAACAGAACAGAAGAGTTCCTTATAATTAACTTCCAAAACTTCGTAGTAGTAAATGTCTAAGTGAAGAAATTACATCAAGGACATTCCTTACAACACAAGTATTAGCGGTGGTAATAATAAGTGCAAGAAAAGATGGACTTAATTGACTAGTTATCAGTACTTTACATTTTCAATTAACATATAAGAATATCGCAGCTGTTTCTTTGAAGATACAATACCGTTTTATAATGCCAGTAAACATGGATAATACATGTGATAGCAACTGAGTTTTGTTGAAGGTTGTCGTAAAGTTCGATGGAGTGTTTCACTTTTAGTTTATTATAACAAAAAACGATCAAAGTAGTCAAGCGTGTCCATGTATGGTACAACTTGCCTGGAGGCCTTTACGGGAATGTCACTAAACAAAAGGACTAATGAGCAGAACAATGGCTGTACTCTTTGCACATTTCTTTACCATCCTCTGCAAAACAACATCGTAAAATTTCTTACATTTTTTGTTTCGAATTTAACGCTGTGTTCCATATTTAATGAATTAGGAGTACCGCGAGATTCGAAGATAAAATATAAATTCATTTTTTAATCGACGTTTTCCTCGGCGTAGTTTTGGTGGTTACTTAAATTGCAAATGTTATTTCTACCACATGGAGACCAAAGCGAAGAAAAGTAACAAAGACAACTCTGAATGCTGCGACACCAGTTAATAACTTTTAACTCAGCTGCATTAAACGTGCATACCTATTCTGTTCGTTACTTGGCGGAGGCCTTTAAAATTGCAATGCCTACGGTGCTTAGCACACCCAAAACTACACCAACACTTAAACTATATTCCTTGAACGCCTCCCATGTCTTGCTCCAAAACGACTCTTGTTGTTCTTCGTCCAAGTCAATCGCAGGCATCACGTAGTTATCCGCGAAAGGAGATATAGGAGCCACTTCGGATCCACCAAAGATAGCTGCCACATTCAGTTCGCTCCCAAGGAATCTTAGTCGGGCCTTATTCGCTCGGTACAAGCTGAAAGCGGCGGAATTCCTTGCAGCGTAGTAGCAGGCGATCCAGAACTTGGATAACCAGTTTCCACCATTGGGTAGGACGCTGAGTGGTCGGTGATATCCAGTTGGTACTATTGGCAGGGATTGCACCAGCTCAGGGTCGAGTTTGAGCTTTTCGTTGAGGAATGAATGTATCGCCGTTTTCCATCGTGCAAGCTCCTGCAAAAAGTACCACTCTCTGTCGCCCCCAGCTGGATCTCCGACTGTATTGGCAAAGGTTAGAGCTATCACAGCGTTCTTCCACAGTTCCTCTCCAAAATGTGTCGTCACTATTCTGAATGTTTCCTTGTCGTCGCGAAGAAAACGTGTGTCGTTCATCTTGAGACAGAAAATCACAAGGTCGAGCTCTTCTGTTATTTTGCTTATCATTTTCGCTAGGTACTTTTCGTCGTTACCTGTGCCGCCTTCATCATCATCATCATCTCGTAGCCCCGGAGTATCCCACACGCGAATTTTCACTCCTTCAATGTCTACATCGTATGAAGTAACTTCGTATGTGCAGGGGCCTTTATCAGGCCCTTCCTTAGCCGCTTGTGTGCCAACAAGAGCATTCACAAGACTTGATTTACCGACGCCAGTTTTGCCTATGATAAGAAGAGAAAATGTCTTGCTCTGTTTCTGACCACACCATTCAAGAAATTGGCGCTTGAGATTTTTCGAGGTAGCATCGGAAACATTTCTCCGAGCCATCTTGCTTTCGGTTTCCAGCCTTGCCGAGAAAACAACGAGATCTCTCAGTCGAACACGTACATGTAATGTAATATACCTGATCAGACGACTTTCGTTTTGGTAAAACCCAGCTTTGGAGTGAGGCCCAGAGCGCACAAACAAAGGAAATTCAATAAGCATGTTTGTGTACTCAAGACGAAAGGAGCCTAGTCTGGTGTTATATTACTTTATTTTAACCAATCAGAAGGATCTTAATCACAATCCTGTTTTGATGCTCAGAACAACGGATTCTGGCCGCAACAAAGCATCTTTGTTGTTTTGCTCAGTCCAATTATTTGTTATTTACTGACACAGCAGACTGAATTCCGAGAAACTTTGTCGAGGATGATCATGATCAAGTGTCAGTCACCTGAGTGCTAGCAAGTTGAATTCTTTCGTCTCTGCTGTCAGTCACACAGGCAACCGAGTGAAACGAGGGCAGTAAACAGCACGTCATCACAAAATTTTTTCAGCTCATGTTATTCAGCTTTTAGTGCAAAACAACCTACACAGTAGTAGGTTTTTATAGTGAACAGATTTTCTTGTAATACGGCTTTGAAACGCGTTTTTGTATCCTGGCTTCTGAGACTCCATTTATATGGTCTCGAGACAACCCTCTCCCCGAGGCAACTTTATGGCCTATTAACTAGCTGAACATTCTTTCTAGGTGATTGTTTACAGACCAACATTTGCTGACATCAGTTTTCACTGGAAATTAAAACTAAGAAATAAGAATTTTACCAGCTGACTCAGAAGATTCAAGTTACAAGACCGCGCAACTTTCAAAAATAGCTGAGAGAGGAAGCGCTTTTAATGACTTCTCTTGTATTGATTCTAGCTATATTTATGCGCAGGAGATCGAGAGGATCCAGAGGATGCGGTTAATGTCCCCAGAAATGAGGAAGATGCGACGAAATGTTGTAATGCAGGAACTTGCTCTGTACGTCGAGCGACGCCGTGTCCTGGCCAAGGAACTGGAGAATCTAGCGGGACCGTAGGAATGGCAAACCGAAATAATTGAGAAGGACTGTTGAACTAGTCTGCCGCTTAAAGTTCTGTTTCGCAAAATGAACCGCGATACGAGCGTTTGGTAAATACTATTGCCAAATTCTTTGCAGGCGTCTGTCACTACGCACAATGTAGATATCTTTTTAATTGTAAATTTAGTTAGCATCGGGCAGGCGAAGAGCCACCCTGTGGATATACTGCCCGAAATGCCATTATTATTATTATTATTATTATTATTATTATTATTATTATTATTATTATTATTATTATTATTATTATTATTATTATTATGTGAATTTCCGGTCATATTGGCGAGATAATCGCTTCTTTTTTCAGCGTGCATTTATAACTCGCTAAACTCGAGACGAACTGTTTTCACTGCATTTCTGGACTTTTCCGACTTTATCTAGGTAAAATTGTCCTAGTGAAAACACAACCGCTGATACGAATTTTTGCTTCAAATCGTAAATCTAGGCATTACGCGGCACTCGCCACGCCGAAAGTTGTTCCGGTTAGGCGAACCAAAGCGTTTATATGAAGAAAAGTTGTCCCGCTTGCCAGGGTTACCCCACCTGCCGAGGCGAGAGAACTCGTCCACCCGAGTGGTCTCGCCCCCCGAGACGGGTTCACGATCCTGATGTAAACGGTTGGTTGAATTTTGCAAAGAAATAAATTAAAAGTTACCTCGGCCAGGGTGACTCGGGGGGAGGGGGTCTAAGTATCACAGCAAGGACAAAAGTGTGTGGGCAAATTAAATCATTCACGGCAAAACCTTTATAGTGACAGCAGAAGTGATCTACTCAGAGGAAATAGGTTGCGTGGAACGGAAAATTGTGCATCATGTAGGAGCTCTCGTAAGGTTTTATGTGAATGGCTCAATGCCCTTTGAGGGAACCAAAGAACAAACAACAGAAACAATGCTCCTAGCCTAAAGAAAATAACAGCTGCTACAATAATAAAACAATAGTAGCATTGGGGAGTTGCTATACTTCTGAAATTTGCTCGTTAAGACTAAAGAATCACAGCATTCAAATGAGCAGAAGCACCTTGATGTACCAGTACAGCATTGACCATCTGGTGCAGGCGCATTTATCTGGAACGACGGAATCTTGAATCCTTTCCATTTTCGTCTTATGGGATGATTTGCAAAAGTGCCATACAATATCACAATATGTTAGATGGGGCAAAATATTAGACTTGTGCAACTGTACTTTGCAGACCATGGGATTAAATTACGGGGTCTCAGTAATACCCCAACTTACAGCTCGTTTTCTTGCAAATGTCACCGATGTGTTCACTAAATATCAGTTTGTTATCAATGGTTACGCCGAGAATTGGCCAGGCTCATTGTGGTCTTGGGCAAGATATTTGATTTTCGTAGTCCCTCATCCCACCCAGGGGTATAAATGGATAACAAATTGCTGGGGTTAACCCTCCAGTGGAGTAGCATTCCATCTAGGAGTATTTAAGAAATAGAAAACATGTACCGTGTTTCTATCGAGTTATAGAAACACGAGTGGAAGTTTGGGAGAACGACAAATGTCGTGGGAACACGAGCAGCAGGCGAGTGTTTCCACAGCTTTTTCGAGTTCTCCAAACTTTCACGAGTGTTTCTATTAAACGCCCTCGTCAACTATCACGCATAGAAATCGAGAGCGAATAATCTAATTGTTTTAGTATAACTCTACTAGTCTTTCAAAACTTTATCGAAATCCTCTTCACAGACATTCAGCCGTTATTTTGTAAGCAAGGGCACACTGCTACGCTACTTACTATCTATCACAGAATAGATAGTGGGTAGCGTAGCCAATCAGAGAACGGCATTCGTGATAGAACAATCCAATCAACGCGCGTATTTTCTTAGGACTGTTTTCTAAAAACGACTGGAAGTGTATTCTTGACGTGCCTAAAATTTAGAGATCACGGGCGCTGTGGAGGGCAGAAATATTCCTAGTCACTTCATTCTACAGAATCTTGGTTACGATTCGGCGGCCGTTGGTCACTGGACTTGAAAAGACTCTTCCTTCATACTCCCATTCTTGGTACCCTGTACCAAGAATTTTAAAATAATATAACAGTTGCATATCTTTAGCACAAATCGTATGATTTCAGTTACACTCCCCTTGACACGTCACGTACTTTTGTTATTGTCTTACAGTGGAATTCAATGACTCATCACATGGTGATATAACAGCTGAACTCAGTGCAGTTAGCTGTGGAAGCAACACGAGTGAAACAGAACCTGAGGTCATGTACACCACCATTGGTGCTTTCCATTCCAGTAATTTTCACCTGGACGATGCTGCTCGCCTTTCATCGGTTGGCACCCTGTGTACCCTGGTTACCTCCGCAGGACACCCACTCATCTCACCGCCTGGTGAAATAGTGCTGGAAACGGAAACGAAACAGTCAGATGACGGAGAAATTAAAACTACGGTGTCAGGAATTCAAATACCAATTTCTATTCAGCAGGAGCAGTTTGCTACGGAGGGTTTAGAAAACAATTCAAAACTAGATGTCTCTGAATTTGTCGTGAGAAGCACTGGTGATGATCAAGACCCAATTTCTCAACACTCCACCCAAGCAAACACGGAGGTAGTCGGAGGGACTGTCTTGGAAGGAAGCAAGCTCACTGGAGGGTTTGATCTTTGTATAACGAGCATGATGAGTCATATAACAAGCGAGACAGGGCAGGAAGGGCTTGGATCAGCCACGAAAGCTTTACATTCAGCTGTTGTGTCCTCAGACTCTGGTAAAAGATCAAGAACTCTTGATTTCAGAGATGTTCATCCTGAGGATCAGTTTGCGCCCCCTGCTGTTATTTTTCAGGTTTGTCTGTCTGGTTTTTACTGCAGTCCTTTTCCAACCCCTTGCCCGTTGTCAGGGTCGGCCAGGCTTTTAGAGTATACGGTATACATGGGGATTTTAAATCGAGTATACGGTATTTTGATGCCAAAATTGGGTCTATTACCGCTATAAAGTATACCTTGTCTTTCCAAATTTTGATATTTCAAATCAGTTTGAGGGGAAATGTTGGGTAGAATGGGTTTTTCTTTTCAGGTATATTGGTATACCACTACCCCACATGGCCGACCTTGCGTTATAGACCCCTCAGACTGATAGCGTTAAATATCAACCGCTTGTGCCTAGTGCCAGATCATCAGTGTCGTCAGATTTATGAAAAAAATATGTACATCATGTATGGTATTTAAGTTCGCTGATGTTCAAATATTTCTCGGTCGAAAAATGCGAAAAAGAAACGCAAACTTACATTGCATTGTAAACTACTTCAGTACAGTAGACGTTTATTTCTGAAACATGATGCACTGAGTTGTTTTAGATGGGGATTCCAAAAGTTACCGTGCTACGAAAAGATTGTTAGTAAATAATTTTTGTACTTATTGCTCGAACTGTGAGCGGAATCCCTCTTAAAAACCCTTTTCGTACGAAAGGGACTGAAACGTGTTATGGTCGTTGTACTTAAAACTATTTGATGAGGACTTCAAAGTTTGCTAATGCACCTTCTTGATTTTAGGATGAAATCAAATCTTCAGACACTGAAAACGAAGCTGAAGTGTTGGTGGCTCAAATCCAACAATCACCCGAGGGAATTCCTATAGTGCAACTCCCGAAGGAATCAATGCAGGTCAGTTTACCCCAGGGATTAATCACAGAGTCAGCAGTCGCCATGGTTCATGCGTCAGATGTGGAACACATGGAAGTGGACACAAATGACAGCCCCGCTGATACAGTGCCCTCCGAGATTCCTCTGGTACCCATTCCATCCCTTTCAGATGTACCAGAGGAAAGAGGAAGTCTGGGGAAAGGCGATCTATCTCCATATATGGACACTCATAGTTCTTCAGAACAAGACGAAGGCAATGGCGACACGTACCCAGAGAGTACAATTAATTTACAGGACCTGCGCTGATAAGAAAGACAGTCAAGAATATTTGTTTATATATAAAACTTTTCTAATGCTTGCCAAGTTTGATATGAAATAAAAAGTGGATGTTTATTAGAAACAAGAAAAAATTATTTGCACTCCTTTCTTGGCTCTTTTCTTAGCTCCCAGTCCATTTCCACCAGTTTGGGTTAATTCTTCCTCGGACGTTACTCGGTATATTCGATATAACGCGACCAGGGACCTGTTTCTCGAAGGTCCCGAAGAGTTTTCGCACCCGGAAAGCCGTCGTAAAATCCAAAACCTTATGATTACAGAGCTGTTTTATTCACATATTCTTAATACGATCAGAGCTTATTTTCATACAAGAAGTTTTTGGCGTGTACACATCTCTGTTTTTAGATACAGATTAACTAAAAATGGCTTTGCGGGCCCGAAAAGTTTCCGGGGCTTTCGAGAAACGGGCCCCTGGTGTAACCCGACTTAGCATAACGTGATTGGTATAAGTCATGACTTAGTACAACGTAGAAAAAAAAAACAGATCAGGCCCCTGGTATTCAAAGGGTAGATAACACTATCTACCAGATAAATCACTGTCCAATGAGTGGATAGTCGGGGTTGCCACAGGTCAGGAAATGATCAAGGGAGAAAAAAATCTTCAAGGTCAGAAAAAAGTCAGGGAACTTCACTTTGAGTCAGGCCGGGAAAATTGATATTTTGAAGAAAAGTCAGGGAAAATTGAAATAATTTAACACGGCTGATTTAATACCATTGAAAGATGGAAGAAACATTTGGGGTCACTGTGATCTCAACGATATTTTTCCTTAATGAAGAAGGAAAATTTGTTGAAAACTTATTAGCCTTAATGAAAAAGTAGAAAGGATGGCTGTAAGGTGAGGCCAGAAGCCGCTACAAAATCTGACATTTTGTATTTATTTGGTCAGGTTGTTTATATATCAATCATCTTTCATATCCCAGCTTCTTGACTTGATTTATTGAATGGTTACGATCTTTATTTTTGATGGCGTGACACTGCAAACCAGCCATAGACGATATTCGTATTCTCTGTGTATGGCTAGAACTAGCCAAGCTTATGCGGGAAAACTTTTCAAATACATGTAAATGACAAGTCTCTATTTAACGACATTCCCCACATGAGCCTCACTTGCAAGCTAGTTCCAGTCCAATACCGAGAATACTAATATGGCCCATTGCCTTTTACCAGGAGCCATATTCGGGGACGGAGACCGTAAGCGCGCGCCATTTCAAGTATTGGGGTTGTTCCTATGATATGAGACAATGATTCTATTTTTAGAACAAAACAGGTTTTGGTTATGATTAACCATTGTCTGAGAAATTCACAAATTAACTCGATACCAGAGTATAGAGTTTTCTTGCCATATTCTTAAGTCAGAACAAACGCAAAAACATACGCGTAAGCTTACAACAAGCGCGAGCAGATCTTATTATTCATTCCGAGCGCGAGATTGAAG